ATGATGGAGAACATTTTTTTATATATATACTTGCCATTTGTATTTCTTCCTCTGAGAAGTGTATATTCATCTCAGATGCCCATTTTTGGATTGGTCTTTGAATTTGGGGTGGTCTGATTTTTAAAAATTCTTTACATGTTCTAGATAGAAGGCCTTTGTCAGAGGGACAGTCAACTATAACTTATTTTTTGCTGTTTTTGGGTTTTCTTTTAACTCTGGTAGAAATTCTCTTTGAAGTGTAGAAACTTTTCAAAAAGATAAGATCCCAGTTGTTGATTTTTTGAAGTAGCTCCTGTGCAGTTTGGTTTGTGTTCATGAACTCTACCTACCTCTACGTCTTTAAGATTTCTATACACATGCCATGCTGGCCCTGCCCCCAGGTACACTGAGCAGGTGGCAGAGTCTGAGCATGGTGACACATGCCTGTAATCCCAGTGCTGGGGAAGTTGAAAACAGGAGAATCACTATGAGTCCAACCTGTGTAGTGAGACCCTATAAAAAAACCAACAACAGCAAGATTTCTACCTACATTTTCCTCCAGAAGATTTAGTGTTTTGTTTTAATATTTAAATCATTGATCCGTGTTGACTGTAGCTTTGTGCATGGTGATAGGCATGGGTTTAACTTTAGCCTTTGCTATGTGGAAAGCCAGCTTTTCCAGCACCATTTATTAAAGAGGCTATGTTTCCTTCAGTAATCATGCTTGGCTTCTTTTTCAAAGATAAGGTTACTGAGTGTTTTTGTGTCTGCATTTTCTAATCTGTTGCATTGACCCTCAGGTCTGTCTCTATGGCAGTACTATGTTGATTTTTTCACAGTAGCTTTACAGTATAATTTCTGGTCAGTGACTGTGATGCCTCCGGCTTTTCCTTTGCTTCTCAGGATTGCTTTTGATATTCTGGGTCTCTTCTGGTTCCAAATGAGTTTGAAGAAAGTCTACTGTAGCTTTGTGAGGTTTACTAATGGTTCATTTAAATATTTTAGTCTTTGTTTTTCATATTACCTTTAGAGTGTATTTGGCACAAATCACAATCAGTTTGGACAGGCGGTTTGTAAAGTGCTCAGCAGCTCCATGTAGCCTGTGAATTCATTCATGCCTTTTCATTTTCTTATGTTGTTGCCTCCCCCTTTCCTTCTTCTATTTGTCTCCCATCCTTCCCTCCCACTTCTTTCTTTCTCTCTTTCATCACTTCTTTTGTATACCTAAGATTCAACCCAAGGCTTTTGCACTATCTTGTTAAATTGCTCAGGCTCACTGGAACTTGTGATCCTCTACCCTCACACTCCCAGAGTGCTCGAACTATAGGCACATTCCACAAAACCCAGTTTAGATTCATTTTAAAATACAAGTCCTGGCAGAGGGATAGCATTCAATTATTTCCTCTCTGTTTTCCATCACAACCAAAGCAAAGACACATCAGTTTCTTTGAATGATTATTGGTTATGTAATTGTTGAAAGAAACATTAGTTTCGTTCAGTGGTTATTGATTATGTAATCATGGTCATAGTCACATTATAAAAATGCTTCTGAAGCTATTCAGACTTCCTATTGGTCATATTATCTGAATGACTATCCCATTATTACACAGGCACTACACTTCAATGAACTTTCCCAGAATGAGAGCAAAGAACCTGACCCCTGCCTAGAAAGCAGTAAGCAGGTGACCATTGATGACTCTCCAGCAGGGCAGAAACAAACAACAGGGTCTCTGGAGGTGCAGGTAAGCCATGGCCCTAAACTCTTGTCCAACTTTGCAAACTTCTCATCTGATTTCATTGTATTTGGCAGGTGTTGCTTATACCCAAAAGTTAAGTCCTGGCTGCTGTAAACAGCAATTATATGATCTACGATTCTTTTCTGATGATGCTTTTTATATGTCCTTGGCTGTGAATTTATTCTCTGGAGTACAACCCGGTATCTACTTATCATAAATATAAATCATCAATATTTACTTGCTTCTGCAGGCCCTGGGTCCCTAGAATGGAGCCTACTTGAAGATGAAGGGCAGTAAGGGGTTGGGTTGCTGAAGATTTCTGACTCCCTCCCCATCTTGTGCTGAAAGCTGTACTAACACACACAACCTTTAGAGTTGGAAAAGGTGCAGGAAAGATATTCTCCAGGTTATCCCTGCCTTAGCTTAAGCAGAGTATTGAGAAAGCATGAGATTTTCTGTAGCTTTAAGATAGCATGTGCTTTGCTGAGTCTCAGGTAAGTTTTTCCTGGATGATCTTGATGCTGTTGTGGAAACTATGATCGTCCACAGGACAACTTGTCGCTTCTATTCTGTTCTTCATGCCAGCCCACACAGAGCTCTATCTCACAAAGCAGTGCTACTTTTTTTTTTTGTACATATTTATCACTTAGTGGTGGTTAGCTCACCTGATAATAAGGGTTATGGTCACATCTTGTTTCCTCTTTTATCAGCCTGAATCCTCAAGCAATGAGACTGAACTGCTTAGCTGTTACTTTGGGAAGCTTCTGTCCAGATTAGACAGGATCAAAGATTCCTACACTCTGAGCATGGCCAACAGGCTTTATGGTGAGCAGGAATTCCAAATTAGTCAGGTGAGTTGTGTATTGCTGATGGCTGAAGGTATAAGAGAGCATTCCTCTTAAAAAGAAGTGAGTAGCTGTGTGATTATATGTGGCCCACATCTTTGACAAGATTGAGTACTGTGGATTGCTGAGGTGTCTGAGACCTCCCTCTTCGGTCCTATGCTAGTGTTTCCTTCCACCTGGGTTTCAATATTATTTTATAGGGTCCATTGTAAGTGGCGCAGAATGGGTAAAGCAAAGATCATCCTAGTAGCTACTTTTGGAACATAAGCAGGTTTGGTAATTGGATTTTCTGGACTCCTTTCCCAATCAGGGTGCCTGGTAGGTACAGTTTGTAGCTCCTTTGCCTATGGGCTGCCTTCAAGGTACTTCTCTACCCACTTCCTTTATTAAACACAATCAGGAAGCTTCCCACGGGACTTACTCCTTTCAGAAAGGGAAAGGTGTAGTGGAAGACTGCTAGGGTGTCAACTGCCACAGGTCTTATCTCTGAGGCCAACAGCTTTCACCTGGAGCAAGGGTGCCTCAGATTGGTCTCTAGGAGGAGTCATGTATCAAGCTGTAAACATGATGGAGAAGACTAGTAGTAAATATGTGCCTCAGCTGTTAGAGCTGAGCTGGTCTGGAGAGAGACACAACTATCTCTAACTAAAATATGTGTATTCTCTTGCAACGGGAATGAAGTTTTTAATAAAATAGATTTTTGAGATACAAATTGTTACATCATGCAATTCAAATTGCACACAAATTGATTTGTATTCATTAAAAGTATACAAATCAGTAGTTTCATAATTATATCCATAGTATTGTGCAACTGTCACTCAGTGTATTTATGGCATTTTTCTAACCATTTTTATTTATTTATTTTTGCACCAGGGATCAAACTCAGGGCTGCTGAGCTATCTCCCCAGCTCACTTGACATTTTTCATCACCCCAAATAACAACTCTGAAGCATTAAGTAGAGGTTTAATTTTCAAAACAGAATTTTAGAATTCAGACCTTCAAGTTATTTGATAATTATCTGTGGTGCCTTTAGAATGGATTGCTTAAATTAAAAGATAACTGATAGGCAAAGCTATGCCATTGTAACTATAGACTACTTTTTCTTTTTTTTTTTTTTATACTACACAGCTCACACTCATTGTGATCCTCCTGTTTTCAGCATCCCCAGTACAAAGATTACAGATCTCAGTGGCCGGCTCAGCATGCCTGAGGTCAGGGCCAGTGTGGCATATGGTGTGAGGGATTGAACCCCAGTCCCTGCACTTGCCTAAGCAGGTGCTTAATCTGCTGAGCTATCTTGCTGGCCCTTAGTCTACTTTACAAATTATTGTCTGTATCCTATTGTCACCTCATGAACAGAAACATTTCTGGCTAATTAAGAGGAAGAGTAGATAGCTGTCCAGCCTGCTTCTGAAATGCTGGGTGAAAGGCACATCTTTCTCAGTAGGCTTCTCATGACTGTTTCCATCTTTATATGACCTTCTTATACTGTTTTTCATTTATGCCAATCAAACAGAAATACTTAGATGGCGTGATTCAATTTTACCACACAACGGTTGAAAGTGTTGATTTCCAGAAGAACACTGAAAAGTCTAGACAGATGATTAACTTCTGGGTTGAAAGTCAATGTCAAGGTAAGACAGATCAAACACATTATGGCTCATATTTCTTTCCATTTCAAAGAAAGCCAGTTATCCCAGCTGTTGAGGTTGCTGATCTTTGGGAGAAGATGCTCCTATGTATGGACGCTTTCACAACTCTTCTTGAATACCATCCAACTGTTAAAATGTTTAGTTGTTTCTGTTTCTTATAATCACTATGTTTTCCAAAATAAATAGAGGTAAAAATGTTTTACATCAAAACATAGTACTGGCAAGGATGTTAACATTTCTATTAATTTTAAAGGGTTATGGAAACATTGAGATTTCAGTAATTCCAATTAGAAGAACAAAGTAATAACATCTCCATTCTTACCAATGTTTCAGTTTGTGTAACGGAGTTCCCTGAGAAAGAGCATGTGCGTCCAAAATATAGAATGATACTTTAATATAAAACTCCTCACCATCCTGTGGAGCTCCCAGCAGAATAGAAGTTTCTAAGTAGAAGTGATATCAATATGTAAGACGTGGGCTTCCTAATGTGGCCTTTTCCTCCAAGTCACATTTAAATGTAATCAAGTGCCTCGAAATTTCTTTCTGGCAGCCCTGTCCATTAAATCTAACTTCCTGGCCGCCATGTGCAAGAAGTGTCCACAGGGCATTCATCAGAGCTGGTCCCTACTCCCCTGTTGTCCTCCATCTAATGTCTTTTCCATGTAATTCAGTTATATGGCCATTCCCAAAACATATATATTGTGCTGCTTTAGAGTAATATTGTTCTTCATGCCATTCCTATACCTCGTTTGTGTTTAACTTGGTAAAGTAAAAGGGTCTTCATTCTTTTTTGTTTCCATAATTTCATTGAGAAACAAATAGCAGTGAGACAGTTTCAAAACAAATTGGTAGGATAGTTTCAATAATTAACACATTGCATTCTGCCTTCTTAGTGGTTATTTGTTGTACAAGATGCAGACATGATATCCTTTTTACAAACACCATTAGAACAAATCACTCTATTCATTGAATTAAGAGAATGTAGCTATATATCTATCCTAGCCATTTGGAATACACAGATACAAAATGGTCATTCATTTGTATCCCCCCCTTTTTTTTAGTTCCATCATTTAAATATTATAGATGTGTGAACTTAGCAAAATATTCCAAAATAGTCCATTAGTCCAAAATAGTATTGGGTCTTCTGTTTTACTGGCAATGTCAGAAGTTGTTGGCCTAAGTGAGTCCCCTACAGCTCAACATAGCAACATGGTTTTACTTCTTATACCTCGTCTTTATACTTTTCTGCTGGATGGTTAAGACAGGGTCTTCATTCTTAAGAGGTTTGTATCAGCTAGGTCAAATGGAACCTCTAGTTGTAGTGTTTGAAGAATCCTCACACTGATTTCCACTTAGTGTTTTCCTGAAATAATTAAAAGCGTCACAGCACCACAATATATGCACATACATGTTTATAGCAACACAATTTGTAATAGCTAAATTTGGAAATAGCCTAAATGCCCAGCATCCAATGAATGGATGAAAGAAGAGGTGAGTTTTTTTTAATGCACTGTAATACTTTTTCTGTCATAAAGAAAGAACAATTTTAGGAACTTCTAGGTAACTGAATGCAACTTGAGAACATACACTTAAACTAAATTAATCAGACATGCAGGTTTAAATATCACATTAATTCTCTGGTAAGAGAAAGTGAAAAAGCAAATAAGGAGCAAAATATAGTTGATATTGGGAAATAGGAAAAAATAATCAAATGAGAAGAGGAACAAGGAAGTGGGGAGGAGGAAAAGAAAAAAGAGAATAGAAAGAAAAAATGGGAAAAATTTTTTGTAAATAAAGAGGAGCAGTGAACTGCGGGAATGAAAAGAGAATCAAGACACATCATGTACAGGTACAAATTCTCTATGATTAATGTAATCATTGTGTATATCTAAAAGGTACCAATAAAATTAATGGAGAAAGATGTTTGCATCAAAACAAAACACAGACTAAGTGAAACTGCACCTATCTCCTGATGAATCAGTGAAATGGATTTGGGGCTGGCAAGCATCCTGATTCTCAGTAAAAGTGAGAGAGGAGAGGTTTTTTCCTGATATAAAATTCTATGATTCCCTAAAATGGTATTTTTTAATACTTAGTAAATAAAACCCATGATCTCATGGTCAGAATTATTCCTCCTACAAGCTCTGATTTTTTTGTTTCAATAGTTCTAATGCTTTTAATGTAGAGTTTCATTTTGATTATTTATGTGGATCCTTATCAGTTCTGGAATCACACTCATATTATTTGAAGTACTTAATATTTATTTCCCCAGGAAGCCAAAACTTATAATCCCCATAGAATATCTGGGATCTATCTACCATCTATCTATCTATCTATCTATCTATCTATCTATCTATCTATCTATCATCTATCTATCTATCTATCTATCTATCTATGTACCTATCTATCTATAAGTTTTTATGCTATAGTAGAATTATTATTATTTTTTTATCTTCAATATTTGAGATTTTATTGGTTGTGTTGAGGATCAGTACACATGATTCACTTTGTACACAATTCTTAACACACATACCAAAAAAAAAGCCATATATTGTTTTTCAGTTGTTCCAGTGACTTTCCAGCTTCAAATTTAGAGGCAAATTTTCTGTAAGAGGATTAAGTACCAGTATCTTCAAATGCTGACAATGTATTACTTAAGTCCCACCAATTCACAATTTTGTATCACATACACTACATAATCAAATATTTTATCTTTCACAGCACATTAACAAAATGAGGCAAACCGGACTACCACTACCAAAGATGTTACAGAGTGAACATGGTTCTGACAGGGCAACAATTAGGATGTAGTTTTCTTTAGGAAACAACTCTACCAAAAATGAGAATAGAAGTCATTTAAAGTATCTAAGACATTATTAAATGCAGGACTGTAATTCCAAACTGTCATTTAGTATGCTTTGTATTGCAGGATATAAAACTAACCCCCACCTATGAAATGTTAAGCTGACACCCAAGACAGTCAAAGCCTGCCACAATTCAATATCCCACTATTTCTGGTTGTACCAAAAAATAAACAACCAGAGAATGATTTTACCCTAAAAACATCATTTACACTTAAAAAATGCGATGAGGTGGGATTCCCTCCTTTTTAAAAATGTTTCTAGAGCTACTAAAAAACTTGCATTTACAAAATAGTTGATAAAAATATTCCTCTGGATTGTACAAGAAGGGAGACAGGGAGCACTGATAAGACATGGTGTGTGATTAATCAGACTTGGCTTCTTTTTCTTCTGCTTCATCAGAAGCTGCACTCTCCTCATTTTTAGTTTCTCCATTTTCCGCAGGTAAATCTTCCTTGGTTTCTTGATTAGCCACTTCAGCCTGTTTTCCCTTGGCTCCCCTTTTCCCTTTTGCTTGCACTTTTTTGTCCGAAGATTTATCCTTTCCGGCTGCCTTTTTTGGCTTCGTTTCCACTTTAGCTGGAACAGGTTTAGCCGACAATCTCGCCGATCTCCTCTTGGGCTCCTTCGCCGCCCCTTCGGCCGAGCTGACCTTCCTCTTGGGCATCTTGGCGGCGCGCGGGGCGCGTGCGGAGGCTGCGGGTCGAGGCGCACGGGAGCCTCGCGGAGATAGGCAGCTCGACCGCTGCCGTTCCTCCCGCCGCCAGAGCTGCTGGAACCCACGGCGGGGGCGGTGGGAGAACCGGTATAGTAGAATTATTGACGATTCTATTTCTTATATTTATACATTTATGATAACAAAATTATGTAGCATACTTAAAAATATTTTTAATTATACAACTGTGAATTTGAAAGTTACATGTGACTTGAGTATTTTATATTTATTTGCAATTAATATCTAAATTTGCATTTCCTTAATAAGGCTCTACCTATGCATTAAATTTTGCAGTATTATTTTGCATGATGAACTAAGAATGAAGGGAAGCTATGTTTTTCCAAGATGAGTCTAATTGTAGGATGGAGAACAGTTAGAATTGCACAGAAGTGCATGTGTGTGCAGGTGATGGAGTCAGGGCACCACACGGCAGGACAGGATGGAAGAACTAGCAGCTGGGGCAGTTGGTGGTAGGGGAGGAATGTGAAGAGGATGGGTTGGAGAGGCACTACTATGTGCATCAGAAGATTTCTTATCAATTACTTGGATAGGTGATACAGTATTTAGTGAGAGTAGACTCATAATGCTCTAACCCAAACATTTCAGTTCTTTAAATGCAAAGCAGAACCTATGTGTCCAAATAAAGCAATTCTGTCTGCCACCCATTCATGTTTTCTTATAGCATGTGTGAAATCTTATAATGGAAAATTTTAAGCAAAGTAAAGGTTTTCCTGTTAGAAGTATATGCCCTATTTATGACTTACATTTTATTTTTCTTAAAAGAGTTTCTTGGAATGAGAAGACACAGTTTATAGATTACAGTTTGCAATACTTATTATAATTACTACTATTTAAATATTAGTGGGCTGCAGAGATAGCTCAGTGGTCTAAGCACCTGCCTGGCAAATACAAAGTCACAAGTTGGATCCCTGGTATCACACGCCATGCTGCTTCTGGAATCCTGGGCCCACCACGCTTGCCTGAAAGCCATGTGTGGTGGTGCGTGCCTGTAATCCCAGCACTGGGGTGGCTGAGACAGGAGGATTATTATGAGTCTGAACTGTTGTATCCAATAAATAAATAAAAAGGAGAAAAAAGTTTTCAAATAAATATTAGCGTTCTCAATAATGCAGATATTAATTTCCTTTAGCGATCCTACAATGAACACATACTTCATAACATCGTCATGTAAACATGTATAAACTGTAGTCATCAATTAAAAATGCTTCTGAGTTGGGTATGGTGATACACTCCTGTAATCCCAGCGCTTGGGCGAGGCAGGTGTTTGTGCTACAAACTGGGCCAGTGAGTTCAAGATCAGTTTGCATTGTAGAGCAAGACTTTGTCTCAAAACAATCGAAAAAAAAAATTTGAGAAAGAGATCTGTCTCTTCACCCTGAATTTGCTTCTGAACTCAGATGGCCAACAAGTGAGAGGACTCAAGTCCTCCTCCAAGCATTCCTTGCCAATTTCTTGTTTATTTGCAGTGGTCTTGCCCTTCTGCCGCATCTCCCCCAAGACTTAATTCTTACCATCCCTGTGTCAGAGATTCAAGCCACTGGGATTCTATGTTTCCTGGAGAAAGTGGTCTGTGGTCTTGTGGGCAATCCTGGGGAAAAAAAGAGGAGAAATGAGCCAGCCCCCTTATTGCTCCAGACTACTGAGGAGAGTGCTCTCTTCCACCAGTGTATGCAGGGGCTTGGAAAACCAGCTAGTTGTTTTCCCCAAAGCCTCAGAGTTAGCAGCATAAGGGACAATTTAAGGTGCTGAACACATTTCTTGATTGTCAATGTGCCAGAAAATGCTGCAATCAGAAGTGTGGAGTACCTCAGAGAGAGGGAGACATTGCCTCTTCTGCCTGCAGAAAAAGAGTAAGACCTTGACACACTTTCATTTGTCTTTGGCACTTTGTCCGATGCTCTTTTCTCCTCTCTTGTTGTGGAGGCTTCCCCTTCCTGTCTCCTACCCTCTTTCTGACTTAGGGCCAGTTTACTCCTGGCCTTTCCTTACATGAGATCTTTGTATTCCAAAATTATTTGTCTTTCCTTTATCCACATGCCACAGAATTTATATTCTTTGGAGGTTCCCATCAATGGTTCAGAGGAAAATAGTACACTGAGGAATTCTGACTAAGTGATAATTATCTAGTGTGTCATTTATGTTTTATCTCTCCCAAAGTATTTTAACTATTCATGGTGTCAACATAATGTATTATTATAGGATTTGAGTACAGATTTTCTTGAGATAAAAGGATCTTTTCCTTAAGACTTGGGCCTGTGTTCATGTAACTAGTGATTTGATATTTTGAAGTGGAACAGGGTGTACACGGAAATAGACTATTTCCCAGTGGTGCTAGGTTTTCCAGTTATTCTTAAGTCTATATTATTAAAGAGAAAACTCCCAAACTGGGCCAAGAGATGAAAGAGGGAGCCCCAGCACTGATCATAGCTGGCCTTGCTGCTTCTAGGCTGTTTAGCATCAGCTCTCATTACCTAAAGTATATTACCCCATTAAGAGCAGGCAGCTGGGGCTAGGGAGATAGCTCAACAGCGTAAGCACTTGCCTGGCAAGCACAAGGTCCTGAGTTCAATCCTTAGTAAACAAAGAAGCAAACAAAACAAAAACAAGAACAATAGGTAACTATACATACTTCTCATGGCTTACATGGGGCAAAATAAAATAAAGCATGTGAAAGTCCTTACAAAGTAGATTTCATGTCTTGATGCATAAAACTGTAACAATTTTTGTTTATATGTCAGAGGATATTGAGACAGAACATTTATACCATTGCCATTTTCTCCAGGAGAATCTATTCAGGTGGTTGCTCTATAATTTGAAAGATAAACTGTGGTATTAGGAGTCTGATATGAGTTTCAACCATAGTTGTGTAGAGGATCAGAGGTTCTCTGAGTTGAAGTATTCCCAACTGGATCTTCCATGAGGGTGAAGTGAAGGAGTTTCCCCTGCTTCACTCTGACCTTTACTTCAACTTCCATCTCACTGACAACTATGAGTTGCTGTGTTCTTGGGTTTATTTTTATTTATTTATTTATTTATTTATTTATTTAGCATTTTAGAGAAAGGTCTACAGGCTGTTCAGGGTCTCACTTCTAGATCAGACTCATAGTGATCTGCCTATTTACAGCCTCCCAAGAGTTGGGATTACAGGTGAGCGCTACCACACCCACCATACCCAGTCTCAGTTGCCCTCTCAGCTCCCCCTGGGGGCAGGGCCTTCATGGCAGGCCTGGGAATTGGGGTTGATTTTTAGATGAAGCATTCTCCAATGTTGGGAATGTTAAGATGAATTGAAAGTCTTTTTACATGAACACTTGAGTACATTCTCTGGCACTTTGTCTTTAGGTAAAATCAAGGAATTGTTCAGCAAGGACACTATCAATGATGCTACTGTGCTGGTGCTGGTGAACGCTGTTTACTTCAAGGCCAAATGGGAAACACATTTTGATCCTCAAAATACAGTTGATGCACCCTTCTTTCTAAGTGAGGTACTATGTTGAAGCCCGTGGTTTGCTAACTCATTGGTATTTTCCACTAACAGTGATTTGCAGACTGTAGACAGAATCTAAAGCTTACTTCTCTGAGTTGTAGCTTACAATTTTAATAAGAACCTTCTAGATTAAATAAGTCAGTGCCTAAAGATCATTGGGCATTTTTGTGCTAGATACTACACTGAATATTTGCTTTTTATTATTTCATTTGCACCTTAAAATAATATTATGAGAGTATCATTTCTTCTTAGGCTATGAAGACAAAAATGGCAAAGTGATTAAGGTCCATATCTACATTTCTCCCCCTAAACCATGCCTTGAGCCACTAGACTTAGAACAGGAGGAAAAGACAGGTACTGGATCCCAGACAAAGGAAGCTGCCTAATTTTATTACTAGGGACACAATTTTTTCTAAGCACCTAATGTACTAATTGGTAGATTAATGAAAGTTATTGTGAGGTTTAAGGTGGTCAGAGTAGTGTCTTTTCTTCTGCAGGGAGCCTATGGAGCAGGTGTCATTAATTAATGCATAGATAATTAATGTTTAATCTGGTTTCCATGGATACTGCGGAGGGGTTGTCAAGATCTAAGGCACTAGGAATTGGTGTGCAGCAGGCGCTAAAACAGAGAATTTTCAAAGTTTCACTTTGGCTGATGAGGCTATGAGAGATAAGGAGAGAAGGGCTCCCCAAAGCCCACAAGTAGTCTTAGGAGTTGAAGAACTGATTAAAAACATGAGACGATAAAAGCAAATATTCACTAAGGAGAGGCTGTGGATCCCTGGACAGAGGACTGTCTTACGCTGGGTCACTGGTGTGGCTTCGGGTTCTGGGGCAGCCCCTTCTGATCTTGTTTTCAGGAAAATTAGGGCTGTAAGAGTTTGTAAGCTTTTGAGGGCTGCCTGTCACCTCTCCCTTGCCTACTGCAGAACGAACAGAAGAGTGTGAAGATGATGAATCAGAAGGGCCTGTTCCGAGTTGGCTTCATTGAGGAGCTCCAGGCACAGATCCTGGAAATGAAGTACACCTTGGGGAAGCTCAGCATGTTCGTCCTGCTGCCATCGCCCTCTGCAGACAAAGGGAAGGGCCTGCAGGAGGTCAGTATCCTTTTCCATGTCTGCACCCAGTTTAATCAGATCTGTGAACAGCACTGTCATCTACCCAGTGTTGATGATATCCCAGCTATCAGAGATATTGATGGCTATATAAGATACGAATTGCATTTTATATTTATTTATTTGTTTAAAAATAACAAATAAGTGCTAAAATATTGGAATACGATTTTTATCTTTAAGTTGATAGCCATCTGTAATCATTTTTCCACATCAAGGAATATGGATGTTGAGTTATTTGAGAATTGCAGTGAATTAAATGGTTTTTCCTTTTACCTGAAGATGCTCTAGCCTCTTCCTGACTGTTGCTATAGTGCAGTTGAAGTCTTTTCAGTAACATCCTGTATTGACAGAAGTAGAGATATTGACACAGTAAGGCAGGAGATAATGAAGGCTGGGATGGCTCAGTTACTGATTGTCCTTGCAGGCAAGAAGACAAAGACTGGGAGAAAGTGAGAGTAACACCAGTACAGCAATTATGATAACAATAACAACAATTATTCCAAATTTACTGTTTTAAGTACTTTACACACATTATTTTGTTGAATCCTTGCAAAAGCCTTATTGCATTATCTCTGTTCTACAGAAGATGAAATTCAATTTCAATTGATGCTGACCATAGTTCTCTTCACTGAACTTTTTTGGTCTTTGAACACCAAAGTACACCAAATTGTCTATAACTTCTTGAGAGGAAACACATTTACTTGGAATGTTTAAAAATGAAGTCAGTATTTTGAGGCTTAGGAAATGAATTTGAAGGTTTCATGTAGTTGACTGTTGAAAGGGACTCAGGCAATTTGAAGTAATTGGGACATTCTCTGATGGCCTTTCTTTCTTTCTCTTTCTTTCTTTCTTTCTTTCTTTCTTTCTTTCTTTCTTTCTTTCTCTCTCTCTCTCTCTCTCTCTCTCTCTCTCTCTCTTTCTTTCTTTCTTTCTTTCTTTCTTTCTTTCTTTCTTTCTTCTTTTTTTTCTTGTCTTCTTTCTTTCTTCTTTTTTGTGGTACTGGGGATTGAACTACCTTGTGCCTGCCAGGCAAGTGCTTATTCTACTAAGCTATCCCCCTGGCCCTTCTGATGGTTTTTCAATCTGACCAAAATATTATTTCCTTCTCTTTTAGCTTGAAAAGAAAATAAGCTATGAAAAAATGGTGACATGGTGCAGTTCAGAAAACATGTCAGAAGAAATGGTAGCCATCTCCTTCCCCCAGTTCACCCTAGAAGACCACTACGATCTCAATTCTGTTCTACAAGACATGGGTGTGACTGATATCTTTGATGAAACAAAGGCTGATCTTACTGGAATCTCTTCAAGTCACAGCCTGCACTTATCCACAACCATTCACAAGACCTTTGTGGAGGTGGATGAAGTTGGCACCCAGGCAGCTGCAGCCAGCGGTGCTGTTGGTGTGGAGAAGTCACTGCCGTCTTGTGTGGAGTTCAATGCCAACCACCCTTTTCTCTTTTTTATCCAACACAACAAAACCCAAACCATTCTTTTTTGTGGCAGAGTTTACTGTCCTTGAAAAGGGTATACTAGGTGTGTCATTGTCTTTCCCTTGCATTGCATGGCATTTCTGCTGCTATTTAAAGTTGACCATATTCTATCAACAGCTGTGTGTATTTTCCCCTCATAATCAATCTGAGATTGTCCAGATCTTTCTCTTACCCTAAAGTTGATTTTCATCTCTCTGTTAGTTTTGAAGAAATCTCACTTCTTCCCTGTCTACTATCCTTCCTCCCTATCCTTTATTACTGTAGACTTTCAATTTCTTTCCTCCTTATAAAGGAATACAAAAAGCTCAATGCATCACATGGTAACATTTGGGAAACGCCAGGCTCTCCTATTTTTCCTAATTGGAATGGAGGGAGCATGGCTTGGATAGGGGCTATCATACCACTCCCACATCTCATTTCCCAATGGACTGGGGCAGCTTACTTTGGAGTCCTCTCTGCTACCTAGTGATGTCCTACCTGTTTACCTATTTGTGTCCTACTTAACTATTTAATAGTATGTTACCTGGCTATCTACCAGCTACTTTCCACTTTAGTGTGAGCGCAGCTCTGCTGCCAGCATGTGCCTCTTCCCCAATTCCTGCCACTTTACACAATGCAGTTGCCTTTTTGAAGAAGGGAAGGTGTGCCCTGGCATGGATAAAATCAGAGAATGAGGGATCTGGACCCATTGTTAACATCCTCTACCCCCACAGCTATCCTTCTAAAAGATTTTCTGGTTTTAGCCCTCCTCCCTCACTGGATCTCTGCCATAACAACTGAGGGTGTGGGGCCCTACACCAATCACAGGTCTATAGTTTGACCAATCACAGGCCCACACCTGTTATGTAAGCATTACTCAATACACACTTCTCTGTTTAGTCTGGGGTAGGGGTGGTGGCTTCTCCAGTGTACTTACCCTCCTGTGCTGCAGTATAGACCTTCTTAAAATAAAGAATTTCTTTTGCAGTCCTATAAATCTTCTCATGACTTAATTCTCAGGTAGTGTGGGCTCCAAGAGTTTTGTAAATAAGTTGGGGATTCTTACCCTGTGTAATATGGACAGAGTGGTTTTTTTTTTTTAAAAAAAAACAGCAATAAACAGTGGGGCCCATTTGCAATGAAGAGCCCCAGAGACTGGCAGTCAAGGAAGATCAGTAGCAGAGATCAGCACTCAGCAGAGCTGACCTATGATGTTCAGCAAAAACTGGCACCAGATGGTGGCAGTTGGTAGCGGCAATGGTCAGTTGCTGGGTGTGTCAGCTATTGGTGTCTAGCATTATCTGGTGTTCCTTGGTGATATTAGGGCTGCTGGCAGAGATGCACTTTGTAAATTCACGATTTCTGAGTTAAGCAAAATAACCTTAGGCTGTTTGGCATAAGACCATGTCTGAGAGATGGCAAACACAGAAACCACTTTAATATGAGTGGCAAGAGAAAACATTTGAAACTTTTTTGGGAGACTAAGCTCTATTTCTAGGGCAGATATAATCATCATCTCGCCATCACTGGATGAGATGTGCTGCTCTTCCTTTTATGTCTTCTATTACATACGAGATGTCTTGGAGGGCTTTTCGATAGGAGAAGGTTGGGTTCAGGAGTATATTTACGTGACTGCCAATGGTGTGTGAATTTCCTATCCAACATTCCCCATGCAGCTTCTCACATAGCTGGAGCAAGAATTTATATTGTGAATTTGACACTAACTCCGAAAAGTGGAAGGTATGCTTTAATAAGTTTGTGTCAGTTTTCCATATTGAATCCTCTAAGGCACTTCCCTAACACTTCTCTCTATATCTTTTCTTTACTGCTTCCTCAGAGAAGCCCCATCTGTAGCTGGTAACTAACTGCCTACTATGAGCATCCTGAGGTGGAAAAGGGATGCTGCCATTGTTGTGTGTGCCTGAGGAATCCATTCTTCTTTCCTGGCTCTTTGGCAGCATAAACCCATTTGTTCTGCCGGAGGCTGTAGGTCTGGCTGCATGGTGAGAGCAGTCCTGGGTCTCAGTGTATATTGAAATCCTTTTTGGAAATGGTGTTGTCTTTATTAAACTCTGGGCTTCTAAAATCCAGGCTCCTGAATGATCAGACTTCTGAGGCCTTCAGCCCTGTTCTCTGATAGACAATCTCAGTTTATGAACTCTGCTTTAGTTAAGATTTCTGGAAGGACCCCTTGTTTATCTCAAATCAAGGAATCAGTGACTTATTTTTCATGGATTTCTGTTCTTGTGGTTCAGTTTTGCTGCATGGGCATATGACTGTCCTCCTCTCAACTGCCACTGGACTGGGTAGGGGTATTCATAGCAAGTTTTGCAGGAATACATGGGTTCATTTTACCTGATTTGGTATTGGCCTCTTCCCCTACCACACTGTGCTTTGTTAGATAAATTCCAACTTCTTAACGTAGCCTTCTCATTACCACAGATCATTTATAGAATAAAACTTTTTTTATTGGTAGTATAAGGCATTTTGAAGCAAAAAGGAATTTTTAATGCTTCACTTTTCTTGAACAAGTAAGATTGGGCTACATCATGTAAACTATGCAGAAATATAGGGAGGCTGCTAGGGAGTTAAAAATGCAGTTGAAGAGTTTAAACAGATTTTATTCATTTTTTATTTTTATGAGTTCACACACATAATTGCATTCCTTGTGGAGAGTTAGTACATGTATAAACACAACTTAATTCTTTCTTAAAATCTCATTCTTTTCTCCTTTCTCAACCTACCTTGTATCAGTCAGGGTTTTACTAGAGGTACAGATATAGCACAAGATGTACCAATGTATAAGAAATTCCTAGATTGGCTTACAATGGTCACCCACAGAGTCAGATAAGGAAGCACACAGAGGGCATTTGCATCCTGGAGACTGAAGGATTCAGTTTAAGGTCTAGAGCTCACTGCAGCGTTCCATGCAAGTCCATATCAGGAAACTGATGGGTGTACAATGGAAGACCGATGAGTCTACACCAGAAGGCTGAAGGCAAGGCAGAATCCAAGAGTTTGAGCTAGAGCCAAGAGATGATGTCCAAGCTGATGGTGAAGATGGGAGCTCCTCCAAGGAAGAATGGGACCCTCCAACCTTCCTCATTTTCTTTTAAGAAATGAGTCACTCTAGGATGGGGCCTCCACACACTAGGGTATGGAATTGCTGAGCCATTTAGTTAAGCTCTTAGCTTTTCAAGTTGACATAATCAATCAACCACTACATACCTCTATCTCTTGAACCCCTTCACATTTTAGAAAGGCCTATCTTGTTACTTCCTATTTTCTTTACTTTGTGCTTCACTTATGTATTCAGTTTCCCATAAAAGAGAAACCATGTAATATTTAAGATTATGTCTGACCTATTTTACTTAACACTATAGTCTCAAGGTGCATCCATTTTCATACAAATGATTTAAGTTTATCTTTATGACAAAGTAGTACTCCATTTATGCAAATACCACATTTTCTTTATGCATGAATCTGTTGATAGACATATAGGCTGCTTAAAAAAATGTAGTTGCTCTAGCCCTGCACCCCCTATCACTGAGTTCTTCTGAGTCTCAGCTGACCATCCTCAGACTGAAGGGGAGACCTGGTAGGCCTAGTCACAACACCCTCACCATTACCAGAGTTCTTCTGAGTCCCAGCTGCACATCCTCACCTAGGAGACTGCCAGGGGGACTCAGTGGGCCTTTCCCAGCTCCAACCTCATGCTTGATGGAACTTGGCTGAGCCCTGGCTACTGGCACTTGTGTGGAGGACTGCCAAGGACACCTGCTGAGGCTTTCCCTGACCACATCACCCTTTCTGGAACTCAGCTGAGTCCTGCCCACCTGTCATCACCCAGGAAGACTGCCACAAGAACCTGAAAACGAGTACCTGGAAGATGCTTCAGGAACCTTAAAGAACCTACCAAAAGAGAAAAGCCCAGGTCCTGATGGATTTATAGCTGAATTCTATAAGAAATTTAGAAAAGATTTAATGCCAACTCCTCTCAAACTCTTCAATGAAATTGAAAGAGCAGAAATTCTCCCAAACTCAGTACTAGAGACAAGTATTACTCTGATGTCAAAACCAAAGACAGATCTGCCTAAAAAAGTGAACTATAAGTCAACCTCTTTAATGAACATAGATGCAAAAATCCTTGATAAAATACTAACAAACAGAATTCATCAAATCAGACTGGGTATGGTGGCACATGCCTGTAATCCCAGCACTGAAGAGGATGAAAACAGGAGAATGACTATGAGTTTGAACTACATAGTGAGACTCTGTACCAAATACATAAAAAAGAATAAAGCAAATAATCAAGAAGATTATATATCACAAACAAGTGATATTTATCCCAGGAAGGTAGGGATGGTTCAACATATGTGAATCCAAGGGTCTGCAAAATAGCTCAGCTGATTAAAGCACCTGCCTAGGCAGAGTGCAATGACTGGGGTTCGATGTTCTGCTGGTCTGTCTCTGGGCATGCTGAGGTGGTGATTGATTTTTTTTCCTGTATTTTAGGGGAGGGTCTACAGGGTTTTCAGGGTCTCACTACTAGATTGGACTCATAGTGATTCTCCTGTTTACAGCCTCCCCCAAGTGTGGGGATTACAGGTGTGCACCACCATGCCCAGTCTCAATTGCTGTCTCAGTGTGCCCTGAGGGCAGGACAAGCACAACAGGCCTGGGGATTGAACCCCCAAGCCCTGTGTCTGCTTGCAGGTACTTTAATCCACTGAGCTATTTGGTTGGCCCAGAGATGGTGATTGAGACTGGGCATGGAGGGATGTGCCTGTAATCCCAGCACTTGGGATGCTGAAAATAGGAAAATTATTATGAGTCTTATCTACATAATGAGACCTTGTAGACCCTGTACTAAATACATAAAAAATATGCAAAGTCATAAATGTAATACACTACATCAATAAAGCCCGGAACAAAAACCACATGGTGATCTCAGTAGACACAGAAAAAAACTTTTGAAAAAGTTCTACACTCATTCAAGATAAAAACCCTACAGAAAACTGGAATAGATGATCTATATCTCAACCTGCTAAAAGCCATCTATGAGAAGCCAACAGCCAACATTATACTAAATGGGCAAAACTTGAAAGATTTCACTTTAAAATCAGGAACAAGGATGTCCATTTTCTCCACTCCTATTCAGTGTAGTTCTGGAAACAGCCAGAGCAAGTAGACAAGAGAGACAAATAAAATGAATAAGGATTGTAAAAGAAGAAGTGAAGTTATTGTTATTTGCAGATGACATGATACTCTACATAGAAGACTCAAAAACTCCACCAAAAGACTTATACATTTAATAAGTAAATTCAGTAGAGTAGTGGGATATAAAGTCAGCACTCAAAGGGCCAGCCAAATAGCTTAGTGGATTAAAGTGTCTGCTTAGGTAAACACAGGGGCTGGGAGTTTGGTCTTCAGTCCTGCCCTGCCAGCCCAACTCCTGGAGTGCACTGAGACAGCATTGGAGACTGGGCATGGTGGTGCACACCTGTAATACCAGCACCTGGGAAGCTGTATGCAGGAGGACCACTATGAGTCCAATCTATGGATTGAGACCCTGTAGACTCTGTCCTAAATACAAAATAAATAAATAAATACATAAAATCAGCACTCAAAAATCAATAGTACTTTTGTACAGAATGAATCCACTGAGAGAGAAATTAGGGAAACCATGCCTTTTACAATAACATCCAAAGAAATGAAATATTTAGGAGCCAATCTCACAAAGGAAGTAAAGACTGACATAGTAAAAATTGTGGTACTCTGAGAAAAGAGATTGAAGATGATTTCAGAAAATGGAAAGGTATTCATTGCTCCTGGATAGAAAAAACAAGCACTGTGAAAATGGCCATACTCCCACAATTGTTATACAGATTCAACACAATCCCAATTAAAATACCATTAGTATACCTCACAGAGCTAGATAAAACATTCTT